ATTATAATTTTTTATTTATTTTTTTATTAAAAACATCTTGTAACACGGTAGCTAATCAACTAAAAAAAATATTAGCAAGGTTATCGTTACTTTTCACTAGGCCGTGTACTTACAGACAGTATAAGAGATTCCCATGCACCCACCCTCCCCGAACCACCCAAATAATATTAGAAAGACATTCAAAGTTTATTATTCACTCCAACCCCACCCAGATAAAATTATATAAAAATTTTATTTCTTTCATTCCAAACTTTAGCGGCAGCATAACCGAAAGTTCGTTTCATTGAATTTGTTTTTGGCTTCAACAACATCAACTTATTTTTGTTATTTGTTAATTCATATCGCTCTGAATTATATAGTTTAAACATGTCCGAAATGTTTTCGTGAAAATGGCATGTAAGTGCTTTTGATACATATTTTAGTTGTTGCTCCATCATTCTTTCACCTAACGTTTTCCAATCTAGTTTCTTTAAAATATCTATGGAGCGTATTTTATATGAGTCACCTGTAATAACTTTTGCAGCTCAGTTTTGGAGTTTATGAAGATTGCCTCGTAAAGATTCGCCACAATTACCCCAAATCATCGAGCAGTAAAAAGTGTGGTTGGACTAAAGCTCGATAAAAATGTTTAAGAGTTTCCGTTGAAACGTATGGCTGACACGAGTACACGAGCAATTATCGGTCAATCGCTAACAAGTATCCTCCTCTTATACTGGCCAGAAATATATCTTGCGAAGCACTTTGGGTGCATAAACCTTATTAATTTTTGCATTTCTTTGATCATTGCCAACTTCAATCAAATCAAGCCATTTTTCATCATCTTACAAGCATTTCTTCAATCAAATCAAGCCATTTTTCATCGTCTTACAAGCTTACAATAAAAGTGCACTGAAAGTACAATCGGTTCACGAGCAGGGGTAGATAAAAAATAAATTAGACTTTTTTCTGTGCCATAACACATTACTGGTTGCAGATACAAAGATGGAGGTGCAATATTTGAAATCTCCGCATACAAATACATCTTTGTGCAAATTTTGATGGATATACCATGTACGGGTATGAAGATACAGGTCAAAATGTAAAATAGGGTAATGGTGAATTTAGCACTGGCCACGCCCACTTTTTTGATTTTCGGGCCATATTTCGAATTGCGATATCTCAAAAACTATTGCAGCTACGATGCTCAAATTTTGAACTTAAACTATTCCCACACAATGTTAACTGCCTGCGAAATATAAAGAAATTTGGAGAGGGTGGGTGTCAAATCAGTTTTTTTTGTGTTGAAATGGCATGGAATTACTCCCACATATCTTTACTTAATATCCACTTATATCGTCTGAATGAGTATTATCTACTAATACACCAGATTACTATACAGAAATTTCCCAAACCAAGCCCCTGACTACCATAGCAACTGTGCCATGGCACCAGATACTTTGAACACCAAAGATTGGGGCTGAGGGGAGAAGATTTTATTTGCACCTTATGCCTGACCAGAAAAAATTTGTACTGCCATTAAATGAATAAAAATAATTGAAATATATAAACTTATCTCCTATATATCCATGAAAAGCCCAGTAGTTTCCCTTACAAAAAAAATAGAATATTAGGCAGTAGGATATATACCAGTAGGAATTTCTATTATTTTGGAAATAGGCCCAAATTCCAACATTGAACTTTGAAGGAAAAATCATTCCAATAAACAAATTTGACTAACAAATTTGGTTCATTTATAGTTACAATTCACAACTTTAGATAACGCACATGCCTAGTTACCTTTGCTCTAGTTTACAGAAGCATTGAATAGAAATAACTATGGGCATTAGAATTATATTTAGTACAGTGCATGATTGAGTGCATGAATAACTCTGACTTATACATAATCCTGATGCTTAAAATTTGATTGGAAATAGGCCTGAATTTCAAATAGAATACGAATCCAATTGGAGTTCTAATTAGATTTTTTCATATGGTGTTTTTAAGAAAATTATCAGGTGTTATACATGCAGCCATGTAGCAAAAAAATAAAGAGCCAGCTTTTTTGCAGAGTTTCACTGGAAAAAATAGTAAAATCCATATTCTGGAATTTGCAGTTGCATCACTAAATGTTTATTTTCATGGTCTTCATAGATGTTAAAACAGTTGAGGAATTTAATTCCAGAAGACAACATGAAAACAAAGATTCAGCACGTGTTGCTTTGGTGACATCATTCACGGATGGTGCACCTCTGGGACATGTACAGTTGAATGACTTTGTTTTTGGTACCAACCCAAGGTATATACCGTTTAGTATTTAGTATCAGTTATTGTGTCAACACTGTATTATACAGACGAAATGTCTTTGCCTTTAGCAGGAATTTCATTAGAAGCCAGCCACCGGAGAATTCCGTCGGCTACTTTCAAAGTCATCGCCGACTACTTTTGTATTAAACCATTGTTTTTTAAAAATAATTGAATTTTAAAGATCAGGTCAAGTCTGTTCTGTGCATGTGCCATGTGAGGACCCACGGGTGTAAATGATACCCAAATTTTGCGTTGTTTCGACATCTTCTAAATTGAAACTCTAATCTATGTTCATTTAATTAAACGCATAGCAAAACAGAACGATGTTAGATAATTATTAACTAAGTGCATCATATTTCATGAACATAGTGTCTTCAAAATCAGTGTAAAAAACTGCACATTCGCTGAACGGACTTGATCGCCTCTTTAATGGTAAATCAACTAACTACAATATGTGGTCACTTCAAGCCGTTTTATTTTCTCTCGAAAGCGTAAAATGAACTTGTAAGTTAAGATTTAATTCTTGCCTGCTAGTTAAGATTTAATTCTGTATTGTTTACTAAATAATGCTGACCAGATATCCATCTGTCCGCTATCCTGAATACGTAGAAGAGAAAGACAGCTGAAGAAGGGGGATGAACAGGAGATGGGGATGAGAATTGTGACAAAAATGTTTATCCATTGTCAGTAATAATATACATGAAAAAATTTCTCAATTTCTCAATTCTGATTGGCTAAGAGCAATGCAATTTTTCGAAATACAGAGCCAAAAAATGAAATACAGTGCAAAAAAAAGAAACACAGTGCAAATTTCTTAATTTTCTAAATTTTCTTAATTTTTCAAATTTCTTAATTTTCTTAATTTCTAAATGTGACTTATGCACGTGCCTGCATAATTTTTTCATGTATATTATTAATAAGTAATAGTATGGTTTCTCGTGCACTTTGAAAAAACACTGGCAGAAAAAAAGTTTGAGTGAAAAAGTGAGTTTTTCAAAGACTTCAAATTGAACTCGTCCTTCGGACTCGTACAATTTTGATAGTCTTTGACTGAAAACTCACTCGTGCATGTTTTTTTTTTCCAAATTGCACTCGAAACCATATACTATTACCTATACTAAACTCGTTGGTTCAAATCACTAGAATGGGAGCCTAAAGACGAATAACTTAATTTGTTTTGAACTTGTGAGGAAGAATATGATGCATAAATAGTAGCAAAATTGTTTTTTTAAATAATTCCAGTGAACATGGGGGAATTTCGTTCTCAACCAATCACCGCATTTGTTGACAATTTTGCTCTAAGCCGATCAGTATGCGTAATTGGTTACTGTAGGTAGTTTCTCTGCGAACGCAGAAAGCCCAGTTCCGGCAAAGACATACATTTCAACAGGAAATTTAGGATCTTAAATTAAAGTTCAAGGGGTCAGGATTTTTAATTTTTTGGATTGGATTCAACTTGACAAGGTAAAATAAAACTTTTTCTAAAAATTTGCCGCTGGGATTTGCGTTCTATTGCCTAGTTCTAAAATTACCCTAAATTTTCTGTTCATATGTATGTTTTTACCGGAAGTAGCAACCAATTACGCATTTTGGTTGGCTTAGAGCAAAAATATCAACAAATGTATTGATTGGTCGAGAACCAAATTTCCCTTATTATTCCAGTGGCAAATCTCGTAAATTCGTTCTTTTTGAAGTTCATTTTTTTATAGTCAGTTATTGCTACACAGATGGCAATGCATTGTAGCATTGCTCGCGCTGTTTAATTATATGGAAAAGTTAAGTTCTCTCTACGTTTTCCCGTGGTTCTAGCTGGGAAAAAATATTTCCCGGGGCCACCGTCACTAACGAAATTGCTAATTTGCTATACCTCCATGTTCAGCCGCCTACTTTCTAATATGAGCCTGCCACTTTAAAAATTAATGAAACCCATGCATCCATGGTTTTACTGAATATATTGAAGTATCTTATTGACATACAGTTGTTGTACCTATACACTATGCTGAACAAGTGTTAAGGAATGTCTGGTCGTGAACTCACTGATATGATACACGACTAGGACACGTACAATATAACGACTTTGTCTTTGGTACTAATCCAAGATAGAATGACATTGTACAATTATTAATCTTATTGTCTTTGCTGGTTGTAAATGTAATAGATTAAAATAAATTTGAACAAGTATTAGGGGTGTGTATACTGGGTAAGACATTACGCTGAGTGTCTTCTTATAGAAGTGGTCCTACCTCAAAAAAAATTAATGGAAGCATGATCAGTCTTTACTAAAAGCTTTGGTCACGGAAAGGTCATCATAGTAATTTCTGGCCTAGCTATCAGAACCATAGCCTTAACGAATTAGGACAATTAATTAAACCGGGAGATGTACCATGCATGTGCTCATGATGTACCACCATGTAGTATTTGGTTATATTTTACTGTATACTGTATTGTTCAGTTATTTGGGGCTGATTTAAAATTGTTTGCCACCCTATAACACAATGGAATGCTCACCACCCATCAATATTGAGGCAATGACAGGCAGACTTACGGATACTTTTGACTTCATCCGTTCTAATTTTGTAAACACAATTTTGTGTATTTCTAGACTAGACATACTTCAGAGAGTTGTTGTATGGCAGAGAGCGAATGCAAGAGCTGTGAGTATTGCTTTGAAATAGGCATTGAATAATAGTGTTCAGTAAAAATGCGTTCTTTACTTTCTGTAAATACATTTCGGTCCACCAATTACTGCCTATATAGGGACTACCTGTGTTTACCCGGTTGTAGTAGAAGACTGCTCGACTAAAACCAGGACTAAAACACAGAACAACAAATAGAAAAAAGAAACAAATATGAAAGTTTGTGGAAACTTAGTTTTAATCTTTCAAATAAATTTACACATTAGCATACGGGCCTGATACTTTCCGGGGAGCACTTGAATGTTTGCTCAAATTTTTGTGGAATATTGTAATGAAATGAACTGAATTTAACATATTTTGTGATACATTTGCCGAATTTTCTTTATTTTTCCTAGCATTTGCCCGAATGTCCGTGGTTTTCAGGCAGTTCCTGTCACATACGCGTATGAATTTAGAGGTATTTTCCTTTCAGGGCACAGCATGTGTAAAAGATCGCAGTGAAGTGAGAGGAGGTGGCAGAAAACCATGGCCTCAAAAAGGATTGGGAAAAGCGAGACAAGGAAGCATCAGATCTCCACAATGGAGAGGAGGTTTGCAAATTGTTTTATTTTTTGCCTGGTAATCGTCTTACAGTCATGTATGTTTTCTTGCTCTATTATATATAGAACTGTACTTGAGAATTTTTCACTCACTGCCTCAGAAACTGGTTTTATGTTACCCAGCTTTGAGAGAACAGGAATTGTTTACTGAATATTTTATTTCATAATGGATGATAGTCTAAGCGTTAGCTTTTCATAATATCTAAAGATTTTTCACTGACGGAAGGGGATTCACTGATTGATGTATCTGAATTCTTTAATATAATAACAATCATTGAGCGCATTTAGAGCTGCTTCTCACTTACTGTATAGTCGCTGTACGTACAGCCGCTATGTTTTTGTTCAAGTAAGATCTTAGATGCAGAGAAACCCAGCTACAAGAAGCAGTGGCGAAGCCAGCCCGACAATTTGGTCATGCTATGCAATTCATATTTCCGTGTTCATACACCATGAAAACAATCAATTTGTAAAGAAATGAATAATGATAATGATTTAAAATGTGCACAGCATGACCAAATTGTCGGGCTGGCTTCGCCACTGACAAGAAGCAACTTGTATACATGTACGTAAGGCCGGTGTCTCCATGTTTTCTCAGGTGGTGTTGTTCATGGGCCAAAACCGAAGAGTTATTCGTACACTTTGCCAAAGAAAGTGCGAAGAATGGGCCTGAGGGTGGCGTTATCCTGCAGGTTTAGTCAGGTAAGGCACCCAAAGTTGTAAAGAAATATGAGCGTACGAGGCTTCATGCTGATTTAGTAAGGTAATGTATCAGGCGATATGGGTATAGGCTTTTTTCATTTCTTGACCTTCATATTAGATTTGCTTTTTAGGGTGATTTGTTTGTAGTGGACTCCCTGGATTGCAATATCTTATCAAACATAGTAAGTGTGCCACTATATTTCTCCATACCACAGTATAATATTAATGGTAAATGGTACAGTATAGTATTTTAGGTATTTTTTATAATAATATTTATTTCACTTATAATACAAATTATGCCACCAATTGATTTGGAAATCTCAGTGCTCCCCATTGTGCTCACTTATCCAAAATTTTGACCAAACATATAGCATTGCGCACATATATTCTCAGCTGTATGAATTACTGAATATGCGTGTTCTTGACAAATAAGTTTTCGCATAAACTGATACATTTTCTTTGATGCATTGTATTTTCTTTTATAATTCTTTTTATATGAGTTCTTTTATATTTCTAACTACCTTTTCTCATTTAGGAAATTGCAAATATTTTCGATAGAAACAATTGGAATTCTGTTGTTGTAGTTGACAGGTATAAATTGAATATGTATATACAAATCGGTGAATATTTGGAAATCTTAGAGTATATATAGTTGGTATAACTATATTTATTATAAATATAGCATTCTTTAATATCTTTTCAGTGAACAGAATGGAAATCTTCGCCATGCTGTTGAATCGTTTGTAAGAGCAGAAATGCACAACACAATTAGTAAGTCTATTCCGAGTTTTCAATTTCATATATAATTCAAGGAAGTCAAGATATTAATTCAGTATAATTGCACTGGCAGTATAATTGAACTCGCCGCAGTTAATGTATGTTATTCTTGACATTGACCTACACACTGTTGTTCAGACTCTTGCTGGGTGGGGTTCATTGTAAATTGTAGTAGGCGCGCAGCTTCTCTTATCGCCGTTATTTAATCATTCTTTTGGTGTTGTATTTTGTATTTTAGGTCTAAATGTTTACAGCATCCTTAAACATCACAAGATTGTTCTGTCTCTAAATGCCATTGAACAATTGGAAGAAAGACTCTGCCGGGACAACCGTCCTATCTGGAGATGACATTCACTTCACTGTGAATCCCCAGCCTGGAGATCAATTTATCCTCGCCTTGTTACGTTATCACTTTGGTCTGACCAAACTGTATAAGAACTGCTGTATAAAATAACTTGTTTACTGCTTGGTGCGCAATACCTTTACCATGTAGGTACTGCGGTACTTATAGCGTTGAGACCCCGTCCTTGGGCAGTTTCTGTTATGACTTAATAATTGAGGTTTACGTTTGCATTCATGGCTTCGACATTAATTTGCACAAGTGAAGGCGAAATTGCAAGACCGCTAAGACCATAGGACGAACTTGTTAAACTGTGCGTTTTGCATGGTGGCGACTATGACACTGTGCACTATTTTACATATTTGTAGTAAACCGACGGTTGGACTAGTTTGCGGTCACTAGCAGGGTATATTGTGGGTAAGTTCACTTGCATCAGCTTTAATTGTCCTATACAATTGCAGACAAAATATAGCTGACGTGAATCAGTAAATCGATATTTTTGAAGTCCTGTTATACTTGTCTTCACAGTAGCCATCAAGAGCAACTTCAAAAACGACGGCCAAGTCAGCTTACCTTATCCTTATCATATCCTTCTTTTAACTATTATAAATACGTTACTGCATGATGCGTAAAGATTAATTTTAAATAACATCTAATTAAGAAAACCATAAATGTTCGCACGGCTTTTTTTCGAGCACCATTCTTCTGCTCTAATATTCCGGGAGTGAAACAATTTTTGTTTATCATAAGAAATTAAATAAAGAAATTAAATAAAAAGCACATTTTCCCATCCGCGTTTTATCCCCTCATCCGCATTTTATCCCCTTATCCGAATTTTATCCATCCGCATCTTCCCATCCGTAATCCGCATTCGTGTTTTATCCCTACCCACAGTCAGATTATTATTACAATTTTCCCATTAGTTCATGTGTTGTGACCCGATATCGTGTCTTAGATCTGAAATAATTTTACGGGAACTACAGACACTTTCAAGCACGCTGAGTGAAGGACAGAAGGAGCAAAACCGGTCTTTTGTTAAAAGGAAGACTGGTTAATAGAATTTTTTTTCTGTTTTGGTGTAGTGTACTCAGGTGAATATGATATTTGTGGTGTTACTCTGAGCGCATATCCACACCGCGGGCGAGCTTGAAAAATATGCCCGGCCACGGTGGGATTCGAACCTACGACCTTTGGAATACTAGCCCAATGCTCTTCCAACTTCCTGACCGCGTAGCTCAGTTGGAAGAGCATTGGGCTAGTATTCCAAAGGTCGTAGGTTCGAATCCCACCGTGGCCGGGCATATTTTTCAAGCTCGCCCGTGGTTAATAGAAGTTGTCCTTTTGAGTGACATAATCGTGTATCGTCATCGATCCGTGTCATTGAACAATGAAAAATTTGTCGTGAAATTATTGAAGATAAAATAGCATTTTGTGAGAAAACTGCGGGTCTACGGAGCGGGAACTTTTCGGATTTCTAGGCACTTTTCGAGGTCACAACACACAGACTATTACAGAAAGATCGCACTTCATTGTTTTGAGGTTGTACCTCGATCCAATATACATTAGCTTTGTTTTAGTTGGTTAATGTTGCAATTTATTTCTAATACGCCAATTACTGGTTTTGTTCAAATCATTCCGTTAAATCATTCCACAAACAATCTTTTTAGATGTTGACATTGTGCCATTAACAATGTACATCAGTTCACAACGCCCAGAAAAGCTGTTCGCATCTGGCTCCAATATGTAAAAAATAAAATATTCTATTTCTAAAACATTAAAACGGAGTCAAATTGAGGTAGGAAATATCTTTGACTTGTTTTGTATTTTCTTACCATACTACATGAACGCATAACGCTTTTTTCGCCCAGTAGAAAACGGACTAAAGTGCATGTGGCTTAGAGCCTTAGACCACGTTCCGCTGCGCCGGAACGAAATTAGGCGCCACGTTCTACATCTGTTCACACTAACCCGTTAGATACGTCACATACGGTTTTGCAAAACGAGCACAACTAGTGAAAAAAAATTTAATTAAAAAATAGTAAATTTTAAAAATGTTAAAGTAAAAAATGATAAAAAATGCATGCGAGATAAAGACAGTACCGCTGTTCACACGAAGCCGTATAGCTCCGTTTAGAAACCAGGGGCTGGTTGTTCAAAGCAGACCAGCTTAACCCTAGGTTAACCTAAAATTCAAAGCAAACTTCCTGGCAGCTTGTTTACAAATGTGGAAATGATTCTTTTCTGAAGTTTTGAAATAATCAGAAGTGCAGAAATACATAACTAAAACAGCGGAGTAAATTTTAACCGAGGGTTAGCGCTAATCCACCTTTGAACAATCGGCCCCAGATATTTAGAAACCGTGCTCAACTTATTATGGCGAAAGTGACGTTTTCAAACAACTTCGCTCCAGCATATAGTGTGAATTAAGGTCCATACAGACCGGACGCGATTTGGCAACGCGACGCGAATTTTCAATGACATCTAACTTCAATATTTTTCAATGTTTTTCAAATATTCGGAACCATTTAAGCAATTTTAGCTATTTGGTCTGCATATCTTGTAAAATTTTTATCCGTTGACGGTTTTATTTGTTTTTAAAAACTAAAAGGTCGCGTTGTCGAATCGCGTCTGGTCTGTATGGACCTTTACGCGACGGCTCTGATTGTGACTTTTTCGCAGCGTTTTCAAACCGCTCCGGCGTGGTGTTAAAAGGTCATGATCAACCACAATGCAATGCGTACGTTTGTTTTACGTTTCTGTTACGTTGTGGGCTAGAGGCAACCATTTTCGTGGCCTCGAAAATGGCGGCAACTATTGAGGAAAGTAACTGAAAAACGTAAACAAAAGTGCGCATTGCATTGTGGTTGATCATGACCCTTTAATGTAGTTTTAGGTCTGGTTACAGTGGCGTAACTGGAGGGTGTTCGGGTGTCCAAAGACGGAGGGCCCCCACGCTTGGGGGGCGGCAAAAATGACCATAACATTTTTGCTAGTACATTGGGCGGATTGCCCCGAGCCTCAGTTACAGAAGACCAGAAAATTTGCGACGGCTGGTCCCGAAAAGCAGAATTAGTGAAATTTGGACCCTTTTTTAGTAGACATGGATGGGGAAAAATTTTTGAGACTAATTTTTTTAATTGTAGTCCGGAAAATTTTTTTGAACCCCTTTTTTCAATGAAGATGGTTCGAAAATGTTTCTTCTCTCCCCCAGCCCCCTCCCCCACCGCCAGCCAACATTTTTGGGAAAAAAAGGCCCCGTTTAAAACTTTGAAGGGGGCCTCCGGAGGTTGCGTTACGCCAGAGTTTCCATATGGTCGTAAAAACGATCTTTCTCAACGGCCAGTTTATAATACTACATGTAAACCAAATATAAATCACTCCGCGTATAGTTTCCGTTCTAAAATGTTGTATTTCGGCTAATGAGAAAGATCATGATGACTCAATCTTTACGACTTACGACCAGGTTATGGAAACCAGGCTTTAATTTCGTCTCCAGCTGTACGACCAGGGTTTGCAACTTGTACGTATAAAGTGATAATATACTTAATATTCACTTTCATTTTACAGTAACAATATTCAGGAAAATGCAAAAGCTTTCAAATTGTAATTTTTTAGCTTGAAATCTCTGGCATTTTCCTGAAGATAAGTTAATTAACTGTTAATTTTATCATACCTAATTTTAGTGTGCAGTGATAACCAATTCGTGCAGTGATAAAAGTAAAATGTGCAGCTGTGATAAAATGTAAAATGTGATAAAATTTGCTGCCATAGTTGTTAATCCTAAAACACAAAAATAGGGCAATGAACAGAAAAACTGAACTCAAAATTCGTCTTGACATTTGACCGTATTAATCAAAACATTTTGAATGATTGAGAATAATTTGAATGAAATTGATTTGATAACTGCCAAATTATCGAACTACCTTAAAAAATAAGCAGAAACTCGACGTTTCGAGCGAAGGCCCTCCTAGTCGCTACTACGAAGGGCCTTCGCTCGAAACGTCGAGTTTCTGCTTATTTTTTAAGGTAGTAATATACCCACTCAGCACAGCATTTTCACATTGGTACTACCAACACTGGTACAGACAGTTTTAGCAAATTATCGAACGTCCGCACTAACTTATACTCAAGGTTCATCAGATGAACAAAATCTCCCATCATGATCTAATTATAAGCTCGAAAGATGGAGTGAATGATGCTTAACTTTTTGTAATTAGTGCATATAATCTTTAGAATTATATAGAATGTCCCCGCACATTGCATGAAATGCCCTTTTAGAGAGCCTAGATTACAACCTTTTCTGTGGGTGCATGCCCCTGGAACCCCTATATAGAGGTTCGTCACGCCTAACGACCATTCATTTGCCAAGACGAAAATAATTCTTTCTTTCCTGCAAGCATGTGATTATGAAACTAAGCATGTGATTATGAAACTATGCTGTCATATACATATATAGTCGTAACTGCAGGTGCTGCCAAGGCCGCCCAGAGGGATGGACGAGGCAACGTTAAAGGGGGCCCAAATAAAGAATTGCAGTGAAATAACTAGATATAACTGTCAACAGACTTCCAGAATGCAGGATTTGGCCATTTCTGGGACCTTAGATTTCAAAATATTCCGGGGGGAGAATGCCCCCAGACCCCCTAATCATAATGTTAGAAGATGGGATCACGAGGGGCCCCAGTCAAATTTTGCTTCAAATTTCCCTGGGCGCTTTCACAGGGCGTACTTATGCTCAGCTAAAATTTGCACAAAATGTGCATGCATTGATAAAACATTCGTAGAATTACGAACGAATTTTATAATCTGAAAGTTAAAAGGGAAGTCAAGTCCGTTCTGCGCATCTGTTCTGCGCATAACAATGAGAGGACCTCTAATGTGAAAATTGCCCAAATTTCGAATGTTTCGAATTTTTCTGAACATAAACTTTATTTCATATTCATTTAGAAGCATAGCGAACCAAAATGGTGTTAGATATTCAGACAGTACATCATATTGTAAAAAATGCAGCAGTTCAAAATGTAAACAAATCGTTTGTTTACATTACGGACTTGACTTCCCCTTTAACGGATATTGTTTGGTGAGCATAATCCGATTGCACGCACGTGCACAACATGTGTTTAATACTTCATATCTGACTTAATCGCCATTATAAACATCATACCATAAGATTATCAATTATGTGTATCAGTTGGTGCGCATATCTCATATCTCTTCGCGTTTTCCTCAGTTTTAATCCGCATTATAAGTCGAATTATAATGTTTATCGCCGATAGCAAGGGAATCTGCGTGAGCTCCAATTTTTCTTTGAATGTAACGCCTGACTTGTAATTGCTCGTTCTTTTTTGGCTTTCGCTAAACAAATGCTTGTTACTTTATGATTTAACTCGTTTCTTTTCTCACTCCTTTTTTCTACTATAAATGCAGTTAGCCTCTTTTAAAATCTTATTATACTTGTACACGAGGACTTCATTATAACTTCTAAGCATTTCTGTTAATATTTATTAATTTAAAGCGCATATGTGTGCGTTTCCGCCTAGTCTTGTATCTTAAATATATGGCGAGCTTTCCTTATGTGGCGAGCTTTCCCTCGATAAACCAATGCTTTCGAAAACGTCATTACCTTTTATGTAGTAAAATATTGTTTAAAACAAATTAAGCTAAGGAATTGTCTCTTCGAATTTAGTTGGATCTCTGTAATGGCTGTATTAGAAATCATATAATTCTCAGTATAATGATTCTTTTGACCAACTATGAAGAAAATATGAAGCGAGCATAGAC